GCATCTGCCTTCAGCTCAGGTCATGATCCCAGGGTCCTGGGATCGAGCCCCGCTTCAGGCTCCCTGCTCAGCAGAGAGTCTGCTTCTCCCCCTGCTCATGTGCTCTCTCTCTCTCTCAAATAAATAAATAAATAAAATCTTCAAAAAATAAAGCAGAAATGACAGGATTTGCTGATGGGTTGAATGTGGGGGTAAGAGAAAAGGAGCTGAGGAAGATTCCAAAGTTTTTGTACTGAGCGGCTAAAAATGAAGGCACCAAAGACAGACTCTGAGCACACCAATATCTAAAGGTCAGAAAGACGAAAAGAAATAAGCACTGGGGTTGAAAAGGAAGTGCTAAGGAGTAGGAGCTGAACCAGGGGGTGGTGTCCTGGAAGCCAAGGGAAGAAAGTGTTTCCAGAAGGAGGATCAGATCAACTGTGTCAAATGCTGCTCACAAGTAGGATGGAAACCACAGAGACCACTGTTTCTAACGGGTTATCAGTGACCACAATAAGAGCAGTTTCAGGATGGCAGGGGGAAGTGGGAGAAAACCAGACTAGAATGGACACAAGAGAGAAGAGAAGTAAAAGACAAGTATAAATAAATCTTAAGGAACAAAGAACAGGGTGAGAGCTGAAAGGGTATATAGAATGAAATTTTTATTTTTCAAGACAACAAATTAAAGCACATTTACATGTTAACTTAAACAAGCTGTTGTTTTGGTTTTTTTTTTTAATGTAGGCTCCACCCAGAGTGGAGCCCAACTCAGGACCCTGAGATCAAGACCTGAGCTGAGATCAAGAGTCAGACGCTTAACCAACTGAGCCACCCATGTGCCCCTTTAAGCTTTTAAAAACGAAAAAAAAAAAAAAAAAAAAACTGATGCAGAAGAGCAAAGGGAGAATTGCTGGAGCACTGCCTTCTAGCAGACCACAGGGCAAGGAAACAGTGCACAAGTAGAGGGGATGGCCTAAGGATGGAGCACAGACAGGAAAAGGAAGACAGAGTCTATGGGAGATCATGAGCACAGATGTAGATAGATGGCAGGTGGTGTGACATTCTCTTCCGATGGCCTCTACTTTCCCCGTGAGATAAGAAGCAGAGAGAGGCCAAGGGAAGAAATGTGGAAGGTCTGAGGAAAGAGAAATCTCAGTAGTGGCCCAGGAGGGTGGGAGGGTGAGGAGCCTATGGGAATGTGGTGATGACTGCCTGGCAGCATTAAGAGCCCATCTGAGGTTCACCACACACTTCAAGGGGAATAGTCAGTATGGTTGTGTGGTTTTCTCCAGCCTCCTCCAGCCTGGGTGCAGGTTCTGAAAGCTGACTCTAACCACCATTGTATCTTCCCCACTCAAGCGACCTCCTCGGAGTGGTCTTTTCTGACCATCAATTCTAAGCTTGTCCTATGTCTCAGATACTTGCCATCACTTTGTCTTTGCTATCCTCACCTGAAAACATCCTCGGTTATGTAACTTATTCTCTCTCCCCACCCGAACCCATCCACAAGCCCGCATTCCCTAGCACCATAAACCTGTCTGTATTGTTCACAGCCCTATCCCAGGGCCCAGAACAGTGAGTGCCTGGGCCACAGTAATCCCTCACTAACAAAAAATACCTATATCCTTGAGGAAAAGTGCACTCTAAACAGTAAAAAGCTTTTAAAATGACAAGAGATTATTAAATTAGTCTTACTCATCTCTGGTCGTAAACCTGCAAACTGTAATTAACTCTAAGGGCACAGACGTGATGACCGAAGTGATAAGCAATTACCATTAGTGTCACTTCGGCAACGGACACTTGAGTGCAAGGCCCTGGCGGTGTCTCCTACTCCCACAGGATCGCGGTGCATCCCTCAGAGTCTCCGAACGGCTGGGGAAAGCCAGACCACCCGCCACTTCACACCGAGGGCGTTTCCGCAGCACGGCACCCGAGCCACCCAGCGCCCGCGTCGGCTGGCACTGCGCTCTGCACACCCCGCAGCTGTCCCTCCGACGGGCAGCCGGCCACGCTCCTCCGCAAGAGGCCTCGGGGCTGCCGGCCGCGCTCCCCGGACAGCCGCCCGCGGCCCTCCGCCCACGCCCCCCACCGACCCGGGCGCGGGCAGCGAGGGGGGCCGCGAGCACAACTGCCCCGGGCCGCCACAGTCGCGCCCCTCGGACCGGGCAGGCCCGGCGCCCAGCCACACCCACCCTCGCAGCGCGCCCTCAGCCCCTCACCTGCTGCAACATGACGGCCCTGCGCCAGCCCCACTTCCGGGAGCCACGTCAGCGTCGCAGCTGACGCAACCTGATCGCCACAGGAGGGGAGGAGCAAAGCACAAGCCCAGCCCGTTCCCACTTCCGCTTCCGGGTGCTTCGCCGGGGGGAGGGGGAGTAGCTGGAGGGGTGGAGCGAGCGTGTGGGCGGAACGAACTCCTGGCGGAGCGCGAGGAGGGCGGGCGTCTCGTGAGCGGAGCGAGCTTATGGGCGGAGTGTCCGGGGCACGGCGAACTCGGGGACCGGGCGAGATCAGGGGCGGGGCGACGGCGGCGGGCGTCCCGGGAACCGGGCGAGCTGGGGGCGGAGCGCGAGGGCGGTGGGCGTCCGGGGCGGGGCGAGCGAGTGCCTGGACTGGGTTCCCCTTAGGGGGCGGGGAAGCGCGGACTGTGCGGGGGTGGGGGCTGGTCCGAGCTGGAACGAAATACTCGCTCGCTGCTTACAACATCCCCGAGGCTCGGTCGACTTCAGGGTGAAAGCTTCGTGGTTTGCCATGTAGGGATGTTGTTGCCCACATGGGTGTCCTGAGAGTAAGGGGCGTGGGGGACGGGCCTTATTTTAACACAGTTGCATTTTGTTTGAATGTTTTACAATATGTGTTCATGTATTATTATATGTGTACCTTAATTGTAGAAGCAACTGAAAAAGATAAACGTGCTCTTGCTAAGAGGTGGAAAGGCATTAAGAAGAAACAAGGCGGAGGACTCTAAACAATGGGGACTTTTATCGTGGGAGGATAACAGAGGCCAGGAGACAGTAAGGGATAGAGGTTGGGAACATGGGTTTGAGTCCCCGCTTCTCCAGGTACTAGTTATCCCGGTAATCTCTATGTACGTCTTTCCTCAGTTGTAAAGAGGGGATGATAATGGTATCCAAACAGGGTTAAATGTGCTTAGTAAATAGTAAATGTAATTCTTACTACTGTTTCAAGTTTAATCGCTGGAGATGTCTTGTTGCTCCATGAAGGACCTGAAATTCAGGGACTTTACATTATCTTTGAAACTGTGATTATAACAATGTGACTGTAACGATGTCCTATCTGCCTGGCCTACATCAAACTGGCCTACATCAAAGGGCTGTTGGGAAACTCATGGAATAATGTGTTAGCACATTTCCTTCATTGAGGGGATCCTTCCCATAGAAATTACAATTTTTACATGGCTATTTACTAGTGCTGCATTAATTTTTTTTTAAGATTTTATTTATTTATTTGAGAGAGAGAGAGTGAGCAGGAGGAAGAGGGAGAGAGAATTTGAAGCTGACCCCACACTGAGCACAGAGCCTACTCGGGCTCCATCCAGTGACCAGGCTATAGATTGAAGGTTCCAATGACCCCCTTCTAGGGTTTAATTAATTTGCCAGAGGGGCTCACAGAACTCAGGGAAACACTTACTTACATGTACCAGTTTATTAAAAGATAGAGATGAACAACCAGATAAACACACAGGGCCAGGTCTGGGAGGCTTCATGGAGTTGGGGTGCATCACCCAGTACATGGATGTGTTCACCAACCTGGAAGCTCTCTGAACCCCATGCTATTGAGATTTTTATGGAGGTTTCATCACCGTAGGCACGATGGATCATTAACTCCACTTCCATTAACTCCCATTAACTCCATCTGGAGGATGGGGGGTGGGGCTAAAATTCCCAAGCTTCTAATCCTACCTTGGTCCTTCTGGTGCCCAGGCCCCAGGCAGGAGCCATCCAGGAGCCCACTCTGAGTCCCCTTATTAAAACAAAAGATGGGATGCCTGGGTGGCTCAGTCGGTTAAGCGGCTGCCTTCAGTTCAGGTCATGATCCCAGTGCCCTGGGATGGAGTCCCACATCTGGCTCCTTGCTCAGCAGGGAGCCTGCTTCTCCCTCTGCCTGCAGCTCCCCCTGCTTGTACTCTCGTTCACTCTCTCTTGCCCACGCTCTCTCTCTAACAAATAAATAAAATCTTTAAAAATAAATAAATAAATAAAACAAAAGATAATCGTAGTGGTCATATCAGCTAGAAATTTATAAGAGTTTCAGAAGCTCTGTGCCAGGAACTGGGGGCAGAGACCATTATATATTTTCTATTATCCCACACCATCCTATGGTCATGCTGAGCCACTGAGGAGAAGCTACCCGTTTGGATAGGGCTTGAGTTTTCCAATGGGCCATAGCTCCCATGTTGTGCTGCACTCTTTTCAATTACCTGCCTGGTCCCTGACACCATCCTTGGGAGGTCTAGGTGGAAACATCAACACACTTGATATTAGTGTTCCTCCTTGAAGAAAAGATGAATATGCTTAATTCTGTTCCATAGGAGTTAGCCCTGAGAAGGAAAAGAACACATAATGTTCTCAAATCCAATAGGTCAACCCCATTGAGGACTTCTCCTTTTAGATTCTTAACTGAAGTCATTGAACTTCATCAGGCTTTGGTGCAAAAATACCAGGGAATTCCAATGCATTCTTCTGATACAGTCCCATCAGTTCATTTGCTACCAGAATGATAGCACTAAATTGGTGGTGATGGGTGGTATTTAATTTCCAAAGATCACTTTCCCATCACCCACCAGTGAAGCTGGGCTTTCATGTTTCATTAAATGGTTTTCGGTGGGAATACAAATGCCAATCTCTCCCAGCAACACCCCCCCACCCCCGCCTCTGTTTTCTTGATTCGATCATATCAATTCTTTGGCTTATAGGAAGATCAGTAAGACTCCCCACATGGCCAAGGGACAGCTCAAAACAAACAAACAAACACGCAAAACAAAAGGCCAAACACCAACATCCACTTGGGTTCTCTGTTTATTGTAAGACGTTCATTTCCCAAGGCTGGTTCAGATAAACACGTTTTGCCCAAGTTCCGGGGCTGCTGTTTTTCCTTGCTTCATGAAATGATCTATAGGCAGGCCTTTGATCTTCCTGATCCAGGCAGCTCTGCTGGCTTTTTCTGGATTGACCACTTCACTGGGCTTCCTGGCCTGAAACTCCTTCATCTTGGCTTCCGCATACTCCTTCTCCTCCTTTACGGTCAACAACATGAACTTGGTGTTCATTCTAAAGGGATCAACGGTTGTGTAGAAGCAAGGTCGTTCTTTCTTGACAGACTTGGTTCTCCTGTCCACAGGTGGAGCCAGCATGCGGTTCGGTTTAATTACCTGCAGGCTGGTTAACGGGCTGCAGGGGCGCACTGTCCCGTCGATGGAGCCGGTCGCTTGGCCTTCATCCTTGAGGGCGCCTGCGAATCTGGGGCGGATAATCGCAGGCTGGGGTATGGTGGACTGCACTCGGGGACTGTGCAAAGAGTTCTTCAGGTTGGGCTGCAGTTTCTGGATCTCCAAGGGAATACTGGTTTGCTTCGCATCAATGGGAGGGTTACTCCACCTCAACCTATCAACTGCCTGTTGGATTGATTTTCCTTTGAAACTCAGGACCTTCCTTGGGTGTGAAATTGAAGGTCCCCAGGCATCAGTGACTTGGGTTTGGGGCCTCCGGGGATAGGCAAACTCCCCTGAATTATGGGCTTGCTGCAGGGCATTAACCGTCAGAAGGAACTGGTCGGCCGACATAGGGATTTGCCAACGCTTTTTCTTTGAGCGCTTGATCAAGTCTCCAGGTGGTACTTTCTCCTCGTCCTCTGATTTTTCAAAAAAAGAAAACAAAAGCAGGTCAGAGTGTTCCATGAAAACTGGTAAGTAGTTATGCATGAAACTTAAACCCATTCTAACGGCGATGCAAACTGAGGTCTTTGTGGTCCAACAGGCATGCCAAGATGTGCAAAAAAATCCTCTATGACACTAGAAATTATGACATATTCAACACAAGTTTTGAATAAATATATAAGTACTCGAGTATTGTGTGTGTGTATTAAACAAGTGTGTATTAAAGTGTGTATTAAAGGGGCGCCTGGGTGGCTCAGTCGTTAGGCGTCTGTCTTCGGCTCGGGTCATGATCCCGGGGTCCTGGGATCGAGCCCCGTGTCGGGCTCCCTGCTTGGTGTTCCCTCTCTCACTGTGTGTCTCTCTGTCAAATAAATAAATAAAATCTTTAAAAAAAAAAAAAATGCAAATGTGCGCTGAGCATATAATTTTCCTTGACAAAATGGGTTTTATCCCAAGATGTTTGTGTATGGGCATTAAGATGGAATGAAGTTTCAGATATCTCCGTTTACTTTGTTAAATAAATAATATTTCATTAAATTATTAAATTATGAACTGTTGTTAAATCATTAAATATTTAATAACTACAATATTAAATTAATGATTACATTAAATATTATTACATTGCAATTAAATAGTAAGATACTATTCTTACTAAAGCATACAAAACTAAATTAAGATGTCAAAATCTTCCCCACTGTCCTTTTAATCCCAGAATAAACCACTCTGCCTGTGTATTAAAAAACACGCACAGTTTTCTTCCTTTGAAAAAAAGAATTGTGTCAGGACGCCTGGGTGGCTGATTCAGTTAAGCATCCAACTCTTGATTTCAGCTCAGTTCATGAGATCGAGCCCCACGTCAAGCTCTGAGCTCAGTGCAGAGTCAGCTTGAGATTCTCTCCTTCCTCTGCCCCTCCCTACCCCATCCCCCCCCACTCATGCTCTCTGTCTCTAAAATAAATAAATTTCATCACCGTAGGCACGATGGATCATTAACTC